CCTTCTTGCAGAATAGACCCTCGAAAAATCAAACAATTATTCTAATCATTCATTAGACCAATCAAAAGAAATTAAATAAGGGGTTTAACCCAAATTTAGTGGCTCTATTCAGGGCCCAATTGATAAAAATCTGCTTATACAACAGAAGATTTCATGATAGACCTAGCTTTAAGCGATCCCTGTATTTAGAAAATTTGATTTACAAACTAATTTGAAACGCATTATAAAGATTGTTTTATTATTGTTGACTTGCTAAAATAATTTGTATCAAATTTGTAAAACAATAACAATGATAAATAAAAAGATTTAAAAATATAAATTTTCTTAAAAAAATTTGTAGTTTTCGTGATAGCAAAAATAATAAAATAAGCACCAATTTTATTGCAACAAAACAATGACTTCGATTTTCTGTGCTATTTCCTTTATAAAAACGTTTCCTTCTCAAGTTTAGGAAAATGTTGTAATGAGTCTGTGATCTACCAAACAGCAACTAATGAATTTGCTAAATATAAGTTTAAAGCCTTTTATATAGGAGAATCATCACTTATTGAAAAATTGACTAAAAAAAAACTATCACTATGATAATTGGTTGTTTTGCATTCGAAGATGAGTTAAATATAAGTATAAAACCTAACTTGTTCATACTAGAGATGCAGGCAAATTGTCTAAATATTGCTGTAACCTTACCAATAGTTATAGAGATAATTACGGCATATTACGGTAAAGTTACGGCAATCATTGGGATGATTTGCCTGCACCTCTAGTTCATTTTAACCTAGAAGAATATAATGATTATAAGTAATTTAATTTCATACTTTAAATTAAGGTTACGATTTCTCAAAGTGTAACTCTGCAAATTCAAATATTACAAAATGAACCTACTATTTACGATCTGCCAATTGCACCTGCTTTCAGAATTTTTTCTGCATCTGTTCAAGACCCTTCTGAACCACATGGAGACAATGCTATTTTTCATTTAAAAAAAGGAGTCTATAATAGTATGAATAGAAAAACTACTAATTTGTCAGTTATATGTAAATATAATCCGAAGGGTCACCATTCAAATGTAGCTGAAGCTACACATCGTCGAACCATTTTTTCTGTTGCTGGTAAATTAATTTTTGTCAAAAAATCAGTCGTTGTGTATGTGAAACAATAGAATAGAATTATTCAATACGAGAAAATTCAAAATCGCAGTCGTGTGATGGGGTAGAACATGTAAAAAAAAGAAGAAAAAAAGATGAAGAGCTTATGAAAATTGCAGAAATTTTTGAATCCAAAAACCAAAATCAACAAAATAAGAAAAGTTACTATGTAACTATTGAAGATTAGTACACTTAATGATGTCGAAGATGCTGCCACTATTATTGATGATTGATATTGGTTGATTAATAATATTGTCATCATACAAACTCATTAAAAATGATAAAAAAACATTTGATCCTTACTTTATATTAAAATTTGTAAATTTTTTTTTTTTTTGCTTTGTATTGGAAGCGGCTTGTTTTTTTTTCATTATCTCAATTTAGTGCATTAATATCTATAACACTTCACTGGGGCGTGACTATTCTAATCCAAATCCAAAGTAAATATTTACTCTTCAATTGACGAACTTATAATCAAAAAAATACAATACACGTTTATTCATATGATTTGAGCAATGTGGCAGACCAAGCTTTAATATGGTCACAGCCCTATTTATCGAAACAAAATCACTTTCGACATTAATAATAATTTGTCATTAAAAACATTACAAGTTTCGCTTTTGTAGTAAAGAAAAAAAATACATATCACTTACTTTGGTTTAAAAAAATAGCCGATCGATTTATGCATAAAATCTTTCAGTATTATTACTTATTATTGCATCTCACATGATTTTGATTTGGCGAAAAGACTAGAATAATAGATTTGAATATTCTTTCTTGTCACATGCACTCTATAAATAATTTTGAAACCCGCATTTTGTCATACATAAGTTCTATTTTTAAATTGTCGGGTTTTCCATTGACGACACTCATATATGAGTGTAGCCAAAAGAAAATGTACTTATCTAAAAATAGATTATTATGAAATTCATAATGATCTATTTTTAGATAGGTACATTTTCTTTTGCCGACACTCATATATTCTATGTGCATATACGTACGTACAGTGTGAGAAATCTAAAAACCACAATCTCTTTATAGAGACAAGTATAAATAAATTATTGGCATCAATAAGTGTATTTGATTTCAATGTGCTACTTGATTATGCACCATCTCTTCAGAGTTAATGTAACGTATAATTAAGTAGGCATAATTAAGTAGCACATTTGAAATCAAATATTTCTTAAATAATCGACTTCAATAAAGTATTTATGTACTCTTATTGATGCCAATAATTTAGAAAATAACTTGATTATACTTGTCTCTATAAGGAGATTGTGGTTTTTAGATTTCTTGCACCGGTGCAGGAAACCTAAAAACCTCAATCACTTTATATAGAACAAAAACGCCCGCACATTGAAGACAAGCTAACTTCGGTAGCGGCTTATTTTAAGTTTCAACTGTATGCATAAAATAGCTCCTATTAAGTACATATTATTCTTGGTGCATTATTTCTATGCCCATCACTCTATTGAGTTTGATAATTTAAGAAATTTATTTTCACTGATCTACTAGTTTATGCATCATCTTAAAATGGAGATTGAGGTTTTTAAATTTCCTGCACCGTACGTATTCTTTTTTTTTTTTTTTTTTTACCAACAAATAGAGTTATTCTTAAATATAGATCAATATGCATTCATGCGCCATTTTTCCATTAAGATTTATATGAGTGCGTGAGAGTGAATGCCTGAAACTTATCATAGTAAATCATTATATGCAGCTGCAGGTTTTCACTCTCACGAACTCATATGACTCTCGAGAGGGTTTTTTTTTTTTTTTTTTTACGCATCCATATTCAGAAAAATACTGTACTCATTTTGCCCACCACTAGGCATGCCAATAATTACCTATAGCCAATCATGCTATGATATATTTAAAAACTAAAGAAAATTTTGTATTTTACATTGTAAAAATCTAAGCTAAACTTCTTAAATTATTATACAAACATATATTTTGAAAATTTTGTATAAACAACTAATTTTTAATTAATAAACATTTTGGAGATATTAATTGGTCCTCCAGATCAGCTATGTTTGGTCCGAACTCAGTCTAGACCAGGTTTTCAAGTCTAATCCTTAATATTAGTTCAATTTAAGATGAACTGAGTTAGTTAAAGTTTACGTCTAAACTTTGTATGAACTAAATTAGCTTAAACTATTTAATAACCTTTAATTCATTTATCAATTTTACTTCTAGGCATAGCTACAGTTATCAACTGTAGAGCAAATATTTTAAAAAAGTATACACATAGGGGCATGCCCAAAAAAATTTTCATGCCCCAACCCTAGATTCAAAACTTCCAATGACAACATTGATATAATTTATTTAGACGAATGGTTAGTTTAGAATGCAATATTTCTTTAAAGTCTAGATATCTAACATGTATGATATAGAGCCTGGAAGTGTAAATAAAGTCATCAGATCGAGCAATGATAATTTTCACAGCTTTGTCTTTTTGCAACGATATATTTTTTCGCAGTAAATCCATTATAATGATGAATTTATAAAATTAAGCAAGAATTCAGCCACAAATTGCTAATCTGTGTGTAAATTTTAAATTTAATTTTATGTTCTCACTGTGAACATTTTTTACGTTCATATATAAATAAACAAATTTACAAATAAAAAAAAATCAATGTGAATAAGTTTAAATAATATTTGAAATTTATATAATAAAGTATACCATATTTGCGCGTAATAACGCGCAGGGGAGTAATTTCGAATTTCGGCCTAAAGTAAGCTTAATTCGATCTATGGCTTAAAAATAATGCCCCGGCCCGTTATTACGCGCAAATATGTTAAGCCTATATACCATAAACAACACTGCTAATAAGTCTTTAACAATTGTGAAATGGCATAAATAAATGTTCAATTTACAAATTTTAACAATTTAAAGTGAAATAAATTGATGCAAACAACTAGAGTGTTAGTCTATTGATCATTCGACAGGTGATTTTTCTTCATCTGAAGAAAATTTAAAATATTCCAGCGGTGGGGTTAATTCTAAATTTAAAAAAAAATACTAATATAAAGGAATTGCAATCCTGTTTGCACCTTCAAGGATCTTTGTTGATTTTTTCTTCATCTGAGAATTTAAAATGCTCCGACATTGGCGTTGGGATCGATTCTAAATTAAAAAAAAATAATATTAGTAAAAGTTTTTTTAAAAAAATCAAATATTGCAGATTATACAAAATATACCAACCCGATAAATCGTTAGTTGAAAGTACAAGCGTTGAACCTGAATAAGACTGATTAGATTCTAATAAAACAATAAATTAATATTATACTTAATTGCAACTCATAAAATGCCTAAGCAATGTAAAGTAAATTCAGTCCTGTTTATACCTCCAAAGTAATTTGGTGATTTTTCTTCATTTGAAGAAAAGTTAGAATATTCGGATTTTGGCGTTTGCTTTGGGGTTGATTCTAAATTTTAAAAAATAGTATTAGTAAAAAATTTTTTTGAAACAATCGAAATATTGCAAATTATACTAACGTGATAAATCACTAGTTAAGGAAACAACCGTTGAACCAGAATAAAACTCTAATAAAACAATAAATTAATATCATGCTTAATTGTAAAGCGTCATACACAGGCCTACCGAATAATTGATTGCAATTAAATTTTATTATATGCGTAAAAAATTACAATCAATTAAAATAATCATAA